CCCCCCCCAGGATTAGAAAACATATTATACTTTGTGAGGCGAATAGTAAAAATAATAGGGGCATGGCGGTTTTGGGGGGGATGTACGCATTTTTTAAACTGGTAACACGATTTGACTTTATCTATGGAAGGTAGTCCCCTACTACGTTCCCTGCTCACTCTATGATCTCAATGCGTCTTCTCTCAGCCTTGATTTCCACGGTTAGTAAACGTACAGTCGTACCATAATGTGTACGTGTCACAAAAATTACTTAGAAACATATACATGTACATACTTTCTGTTTCTTCCTTTTCAATTTCACATATTCTTCCTTTCTCCTGTCTTTGTTTTTTATCCGTGAAATATTTGGCAGAGGCACATCAACTGCCAAGTTCGCCTTCGCGGCGTGTTTTTTTCCCACGAGGTCAGCCATCTTGGATATTTACGAAGGATGCTGGGAAATTAACTCAACTAGACTCCCTAGGACAACCTTAATTTTAGCATGACCACGCATGTAAAGAACAATTTACAATATTAACCCATTAAACAGTAAATGTCTTTAAAAAAACACAGTACAACAATAATTTCTACCCGTTATTATGTTAAATTTGATAGTAAGACAATTAGTCAATTACTGCTTGTTTAGGGGTGTTCTAACGCATCAGTGGTTATTGACACACATTACTAACATGACAACGAGACAACGCATTGATAATGTATTGGGCGTTATGAATTTTGAGAACAAATCTACACGAAAACAATGGAGACAAAGTAAAAAAAAAGGACAGAAAAAAAACTACAGCCAAATCTACATAATGTTCGGTTGTTTGCTATCAATTTCTGACCCAGATACTTGCGAATACCGTTTTATATGAGAGTATAAATGGCGAAAGCCCCGGGGGACTCGAGGTACTTGCAAAAAATACTGACAGGGGTGTGAAGCTGGTTGTTTGAAACCCCTACCTTTTTCAGACATGCATACCGTGAATATTTGACACAGGTGACGACCCTCCCGCTTTAATACTTTTTGTGAAAACCTTACGTTGGTTATGACATTAACAAGATGCTGACGTTGACTTACAGTGTTCCCTTTTTATGCAATGGAAAACGAATATATAAGGATTTTACTCCCTGAGCGAACTATTCACATTTTCCTTCACAAATTGGTATGGTTTCACATGTGATCGACAGTGGAACGGTAATATATCTGCAAACCAATACAGTCACGGTATTGCTAAGATCATAATTGTGTTTCGTTTGTTTGTTTTTTACAACAAAAAACATTTCTGCTACACATGTCGCGAAAACTAACTGTCGACAATGTAACTAGTTGTCTCTTCTGCTGGACGTTTTCTCCCAGAATAAAATCATGTACGTACGCACGTCACTGAACTCTTATTATTATTTTTTTTATTCCCGCTTTAAATTACGGCATGATCTAATATAGTTCTCGGACTTCAAGATCAAATAACGCATGCAATAAAAAAAGATATATAACAAGGGGTGGAATGGACCCCACAAACGTTACCTACTCGAGACTGTGTGTTTGTTTGTTGACTGGCGACAGCTAAATATATAATATTGCTGGTTGATGACGCTGTAGTGTCACAAAGATACATGGTACCAGGGTGTGTTGCGTCAGACAAATACGTGGGCTTCATACCACCCTGTCACTGTCAGGTGAGCCGTATATGGGTTATCACTGATACTGACAAATAGGAGATAATATTATCCCTGAGTTGTCCCAAGGACGAAGAAGATAATATTATCCCTGAGTTGTCCCAAGGACGAAGAAGATAATATTATCCCTGAGTTGTCCCAAGGACGAAGAAGATAATATTATCCCTGAGTTGTCCCAAGGACGAAGAAGATAATATTATCCCTGAGTTGTTTCAAGGACGAAGAAGATAATATTATCCCTGAGTTGTCCCAAGGACGAAGAAGATAATATTATCCCTGAGTTGTCCCAAGGACGAAGAAGATAATATTATCCCTGAGTTGTCCCAAGGACGAAGAAGATAATATTATCCCTGAGTTGTCCCAAGGACGAAGAAGATAATATCATCCCTGAGTTGTCCCAAGGACGAAGAAGATAATATTATCCCTGAGTTGTCCCAAGGACGAAGAAGATAATAATATCCCTGAGTTGTCCCAAGGACGAAGAAGATAATATCATCCCTGAGTTGTCCCAAGGACGAAGAAGATAATATTATCCCTGAGTTGTCCCAAGGACGAAGAAGATAATATTATCCCTGAGTTGTCCCAAGGACGAAGAAGATAATATTATCCCTGAGTTGTCCCAAGGACGAAGAAGATAATATTATCCCTGAGTTGTCCCAAGGACGAAGAAGATAATATTATCCCTGAGTTGTCCCAACAACAAGGGAGATAAGATTATCTCTGAGTTGAACGAAGGGGGATAGTATTATCCCTAAGTGGTTCCAAGGAAAGACAATATAATATTATCCCTGAACGCCCCAAAAAGAAATAATATTATCCCATAGTGGCCCCAACATCAAGAGGGTTAATATTATCCGAGTTGTCGCAGTAATGTAGTGATTTTTAAAATGTTGGTAATTGTGATCAAATTGTGCTCTTTTGATTATTTTTACATCTTCTTCCGGTTAAGTGAAATATTCATGTTCATAATAACTACAGAAAACACTGCTAGAAAACACTGTTATACATGTATGTAACATTTACATGACGTGGGATGTGGGTCACAATAAACATAAATATTGGGCTTGGCAATAATATCGTTTAATATAAAACAAATCAGGGCCTCCCAAAATATTGATAGATTTACGACACGTGGGATTACAATAAATACTAGTTGCATTTATGTCATACTTGAGCCAAGCTAAAGTGGCAAAACTTGGCATATAAGTATCAAAGTTAAATTTTCACACTTTTGGCGGGACGTAACATTCCAGCTGATCGTCAAATAATTTCCAAAACACAAAGGAAGCACCGAAGAATCTCAAGGCTAGCTTAGAACTTAGTCGGACTATGTAGCACGAGCGTAGTTCGTCTTGACGTTTTCGAGTGACAAAACAGGTGTCACTCTGTGATAGGTATTTGGTGCAAGATGATATTCTAACCCAATGTTAACAACAATACTAACAGCTGTGTGTATTTCACACGCTCTGTGCCAGTGGGATACGTACACCTGATTGCCGGACAATCTACGAGTACGAGTGTTTACTCAAATTTCCGGCCAGATTTACATATGATAACACAGAATACATATGTGTGCCCTACTTATTGAATATAGGCATATTGAGAAAACAATGTTTTTTTTTTCTATACCTAGTATCTTCATTTGAAGCTTAGAAGCAGGCAGATTTGTTACTGTTGTCCAGCCACTTTAAATATATATATGGTTCCTTTGATCGTTACCCCTTACTTTGATAACTGTGGCAATTCTAGGGCTAACTCTATATATTCGTGGGTAATTACAGGTGAAAATGCTGGTCTATTTGATTGGCTGTCGTAAAATAAAATCAAAAACTTTGCAAAACAGCTTTTGGGATAAAATCTAGTAGCCCTGGTTTGTTTGACCACAAGGTGTAGTAAAAATATTGTATTAAAAAATATTTAGTTTGTCTGTTATCCGCCGCCTGCTGTATAGTGAATTCTTCTACTTGTCAATTGCCTTCGCCACCTACATAAATAATAACATTTACTCGGTAAGCAACACACATTTATTTCTACTGTACATTTAGAGTAAATTAAATTAAATTAAATCATTCTGTTGCGTAATTTGTGTATAGGAAACATTATTTTGTTGTACCAAAAGACTATACATGTCCGGTCCTGTTTATACATTTCACTGTATTTTGAGGTGAATCAATCATTTTCACGTTTTACACGCCTGCGTCTTTACTACTAGATTCGTGAATATATTCATTCCTGATATAATTATATATGTATGCGTAGGTTGTATAAGTAAGATATGTTATGAGGCTGTTACCAGGCTAGCGCTAGAGGAACTGATAGATAACTAAACAATGGATACAATGGTTACCAGTCTTGTCAACAGGTTGTTTGAATTGGTTAGGCAAAGACAGGGCGCAACGCATGCGACCTCATCAGGCTATTACATATGTTACAATCCCTGGGCGCCTTCAATCGTTATAAATTGTTTGAATTCAAACAAATACTGACTGTAAAATACTAAATCATATGTGTATTTTTTTATTTGGATATTATATGATGATTGTTTACCTTGAGATAAAAACAAACAAAAATAGAGGAATCGAATTAATATCATATTTCTTATGCAAACAAAACAACTGTGTTGACAGCTTAAACACCGATTTCACCATCGTGGAGTTACAGCACCCACTAGACCAATCATGGTTACGGGGCAAATGTCATGATGTGGAGCTCGTCCTGGGAGTATGCCGGAATGAACAATTCCTCATAGTTATCCCCGTCCACATCCTTCACACTGACAGTGCCTACAATTCCCTCCGCCGCGAAAATACTATCATATGCGTAGTTCCAATTACTGGGATCTTTGTCGTCCTCGGCGGTGAACAGATAGACATTGCCGTCGTCGTCTCCTGATAGAATGATCTCTGGTTTAACGTATGAAGGTTTGCTGTTGAGTAAAGAGATATCAAAATTCATAAACGTTATTGACTTGAGATCATTTGTATCTCCTAACGGTTCATCATTTTAGCCCAAACCCACTGTCACAAGTTGCCGTCTATGGGCAGCACAATGGTGTAATCTACTATATTTTTAATGCTAATTAATCATCTTGTGTCAAAAATCTAGCAATTTGGTATAGTAATTCCCTTTTTAATGTGTATTGCCAGTTACGCAATTACAGTCCGATGTAGTTATTATAATAAGAGGAGAGACGACGCTATAGTTCATTACCATTGTTTCATTGCCTCGAGTTTGAAAAAAAAATCGCAAAGATTATTTTTCTAATTGAATTGAATCAAACTAACTCTATATTTAAAATACATTGGTATCGCTTTTTTCTAAAAAAAAAAAAAAATAGACCCATAATCCCACTATTTTTTTCGTAATATACAATCTATTCGCAAAATATGAAAACATTCTAAATACTTTTGTGAAACTGTATAGAATAACCTTAATATACATTCGTTGCTAATGGCATCCGAGGTCCCACTGACAGCAAAATTTCGGGAGACAATGAAACACTATACCCTGATATGAGGGGCAAAAGCAAGTCTCGCGGCTCTATTGTTCTCTACGAGATCTCGACAGCAATTTGCATCTAAAGTTCTCATCAACCAATCAGAACTGTGTTATAGGCCTGGGTGTGATTTGTGTAATCATTTCGATTAGAGGTGATATAGCCCGGTGACGGTAGATAAAACAGACTGAACACACACTGGTTCCCCACAGTCTGAGTTGCCGATAATGGTAGGGATGAACCATGAGAAAGTCTTCCATGATTTTCTGTACATTTATTTTTTTAGCTCTGCCACCGCCCCAGGAGTTTCTAATGGTTCTCCTCCTAAGTTACCTTTTCGGATAAAACGACACTGGTGATCCCGGAGAACCGGAACCTTGTAGAGGAACACCGTCAAATCCATCTCCGAGCGTATGCGGCTTATACTCATCAACACGGAAGTCGGCAGGGATCTCGAACGCCATTAACGAACCATTTGATTGCCTATTCGAAAAAAAACAAAAAAAACAGATTATGATGCCAAATGAACAAAATAATAACGCAAATATGTAACCTATAACAATATATGAAATATTAACATGAACTACCGGAACATACAATACACATACGACTTGATTTCGCAGTTGTTTTGTTTCTCATGTTTTGGTGTACCAGGGACGTTGAGGAATGTCGCATTATGCTATCATAATATAAGCCATATTTCATGTTTAGGACTACGTGAGTGAGCTGTACGACGAACGTGTTTCGTTCATATTGGCATGTTCAATCCCATATAGTAGCCAATTGCAAGGGCGAATACAGAATGTTCGGTTGGGGCGCCCTTTACATTGACGTCATTGTGTCATTGCGTTGTGTATTTCTTGTGTATGAGTAATGACGGTTTAAGGCGTGGCACAAACCGCGCCCCTCTAAAACCCCCAATTTATGGCGCCTATTGATCATAAATATCATTTACCTGTTCACACTCACTAACAAATCTAAGTTTCCATCAGCATTTAAATCTACAACCTGAAAGATAAAGTTCGAGTTACTAAATGTGGACATCAAATAGCGTAACAAATACTATTGTACATGTACGTAACTCGAATTTCGGCAAACTGTTATTTAAAGTTCGAGTTAGTAACATCTACACTGTAGTTATAATTTTGGTGTAGTTTTGCAAAAGTGAACGTGGCCTCTAAAATATCAGCTGGTCCGTAACTCGAACAATTCAGCTTCGCTACATAACAAAAATTGACACAAACAAAGCACAAATGTCACAAAGCAGCGAGCGCTTCAATTTCGTCTAAGCATTTGTATGCGTCACAGTGGGTTTCCATATCGCATGACACAACGAGACGCTCGTGGCACTTATATGATATGTATCATGACTTACCTCAAGGTCAAAATAATTACCGCGGTCCTTATCGATAACTCGGTGATAAATCTTAGATGGGTCGTTCCATAATCCGTTTTCATCTACAAGAAATACAATTTATAATTAATAAATTATATAAATTAATAAATTATAGGATAACAATTTGTTTAATCTATTTATTTTAATTTGCACATTGATGATTGCGATCGGATTATAGGTTTACTATCAAAAGCCGAAAATGTGGAACCTATTACAGCCTATTATTGAAATCTGCCGAGAATATAACATATATAGCCACACCTTCTTTTGAGGAAAATAAAATATTTTTGTGTGTCTATTTATTTATAAATATCTAAGTATTAAAAATAGCTTTATGTATGGAGTTGTTATACACGCACAACAGCTGTATGGAATTATTCCCTCGGATGCTTGTAGATTTGTGAGGATCATTGGTTTTATTGGATCCGTTCAGGCATGTTTTATATGCGTTTCAATCCGCATCAAGCCAATGCATATTTGCAATTTCAAGATCAGTTTGTACAAAAGCGTTTGGTTTAAAACTTGGTTTGAATATGGAGGTCACCTCCATGGTTTAAATGTTCATGCGTCAAGTGCATATCAGCATACAGGTAAAAGACATTTATCTTTTACCTCCATGATATCAATTTATTAGTCATTCTAGATAATTACATTACCTTCCGTCCACGTGACTGTTAGAAGCTGCGTAAAGTATTGTGTGGAAATGATGGCAGTTCTCGTAGATCCGCCGGGTACCGGAAGTTCATGAATTCTGAAGAAGATATCGGGACCGTCGACAATATGATGTGACTTCCATATCTGCTTATGAGGATCCCCCTCAGATGGATGTTCGTACCACATCAGAGCATCTGACGGTGACACATGCAAGTTATTAGACGATTGACAGAAAAGCTAGGCTGTTCCGAAACTAATTGTCGGAATTGACCTTTAACGTAACCTTTATTTCGCCCTCAAAATTTGTTAAAATCTTTCTCGTCATCGCGTCCGTTGTAATATATTTTGGTACAGCCAACGTGATTACGGTTTCTTTATTTCATACGTCACATGATGTAAAAATGAAAGTACACCGACCAACCTGCAACTCGGAAAACATGGATCAGTTGTCATGTAGTACTTACGGTTAGTTACATTGCATCGGGCCGAAACTATATCAATCAATCCATCGCCGTTCATGTCAAGAAAATCCGCTCTATGAAAGTACCAAGGCACCGGGTCGTCTGTCACGAATACCGTTGTGGCTAGCGTTAGAAAAAAGGATATTTTGGTGAGAGAATAAAAGCATGTGGTCTTGTCATTTTAGCAGGAAGCGACGTAAAACCGAGTTACAATCAAAGCAAGGTCAAAACGCAAATACCATTCAAGGGAATGTTGTTACAAACAACCTCAAAGTTGACCCATATTAAACAATGATACAATGTGTTTTTAAAGAAAACAGTCACAACAAAATGATTTTTGTTTTAGGTGTGTGACATTTTCAGCTGTTACTTATCCATACGCATATCCCTCTGCTTGCATGCACATTATTTTACGCTGCTCGATTGTAATTCAGCGCGGGATAACTTATGGAAGTCTTTGCAGTGAGCTACACTCTTTTTTATTCAGGGTATTTGTATACCACTATTTCTGGTAGTGGTCATGTGTTTTAACCCTATTCTTGGCCTTATGTTTTTATGTAGATGTGACAGTAGTTGTCACACAGAGAAATAACTCCAAACTGGCGACCACGGCATTAAATCGCTTATATATACGCTTTTACGTTTCCGGGCATCCCCAAAAATTTGCATAAGAAACTTGCACTGCTGTCATGAATTTGTTTATGCGTATCTGTTAACCGACTTAATTAGTTGATTACGAGCGAATTGCTGTGTTATGTCTGTCATCGTTTAGGCCTATTTGAAGTTTTGGACGGAACTTGGCTCAGTGATTTGGAACTAATTACGAGATAACCGTCGCTATTCTGACTAAGATTTTGACAGTTGGTATTCATAGTTATTAATGTAGTGAACGATTAATCAAAAGATATGACGTATTCAGTACTTAGTGTGATTGGCTTTATGATTGAAGGTTACGCCCTAGAGTCTTTTTACTGTTTTGTAATTGGTTAGAGTTTCGAAAATGAATAAAGAGAGTTTGAGTTGGTCTTGGGGAACACAGCACGATAGACGCAGTCTAGAGCAGTCCTGGAGAGCCTTGGGGCGAGTGTTGACGCAGTCTAAAAGAGTCTTGGGTCAGCCTTGCGATAGTCTTGGGGATTTTTCCCCAGGGCGCTGTGTCTTATAGAGTGCTCGATTGACCGACTAAGAGGAGAGCTGAAACGTATTTCAGAATCGTTGTGTGTGACTTATTTGACTGTAAAGTATAAGTGACTTTCCTGATCCCGTACCTCAAGGGGACGCGATAGAGAGACGAGACGAGATTCCCCCTGACACGTGTGGAGAACCCCGTGAGAAGGATTTTACCCCTGATACGTGAGTGGAGATCCCGGGCAGGTGTTTAACACATATTGACCTCCTGTGAAGAAAAGTGAAATGGTGAAGAGGTGTCTTTCTTGTGAACCGAACTAACTGGCTCGATGGCAGTTGACCGCGCTTGACGACTAACACCGTTAACAGTATGGCACCGATGTACAACGCTGAAGAAATGAAGATTTCAGAGCCCCTTCGGAAGGATGAGTATCGTATAGGACAGTATAATTAAGAATTGAGCGACATTAAAGACAAGAAGAAGAAGAAAAAGAACGACCCGGACTAACGCGATGACAAGAGGAGACGCTTATAGACTTTAATTAGAACTTTAGCTATCTGTGTATTGCTTAGAGAACCGCTCGTTGGACACTGTAACTGACACTGTGTAACTCAGGACGTTGAACTCTTTTCCACAATCCCAACACTATTGCTCAGTAATGTAATGTATTGCTGTTTTTTTCTATTGTTTTTACCGTTTTTTTGTGATGTCGAATTGTATGTTATGTAAGCGCCCAGATCTTTGATTTAAAATGATATTTGGTGACGTTCGAGGTCCTTTATAACGATTTAAGCGCACCTCAGTGGACAGGTATTTGCAACACAGTGTTTTGAGTTTTGTGAAGTTTTATGGTGTTTTAATGAGTTTATGAGTAAGGGATTATGATGGGGAAAGTAATGCCCCAATGAGTTTTTTTTAAAAGTTTTGAGATTTGTCGATGTACAGAGATACCGACGTTTTAAGAGTTGTTTTTGTTTATGTGTTGTTTTCCGGAATACTTCTGACGCTTTTTGAGTTGATAGCACCTTTGTAACGTTTTTAATGTCTTTTTGAAGTGAGGGTTTGGTGCGCTTATATACGTATTGTTTGATAACGCAAGCTTTTGTTCATGATTGACAGGATTATATGTAACTTAGTAGTTTCTATCGTTTTAGCCTATTTCCGTCTTAATTGCCAGAGGAGTAATGTGTTATGATAGCTTTGTCTTTGCATTCTGTTTCCACGCCGTATGACTTGTGTTTAGATTAACGACTTGTGAGTTCAGTTGAAGTTTATAAGCGTATATGACAGGAGTTTAATTAATAGCTTGTTTATTCATTGTGTATTAGTTACCGCTTTGCAATGCTTTAACCGAGAGACGCATCCCTGGTAATCACGTGATCATGCTGTCGACTGCAGCGATTGGCTGATCGCTTGGTTACACCGCCACGCCTTAGTTTTTTTTGACCTTTTGATGTAGAGTTTGTAACCTTAGTAACGAGAGACAGTGAAGCGAAGGGTTACCCTCAGCGGACCGTTTTGAGAAAAGTGAGTCGATTGGTAGCCTTTCCCTTGTTTTTGATTTATAACCGTTGATATTTGAGACTTTATAACCATTGTATTTAGACTTATAATCAGTTTATTAATTAGTGTGTTTTACTCTTTTGATTTATACCTTTTTATTAGTATTGTATTTAACCTGTATGACGATGAGTAGAGGACGGTATCTTTGATTTGTGAACGTGTTTGGATGAAGGGATGTGTCATGAATTTGTTTTTGCGTATCTGTTAACCGACTTAATTAGTTGATTACGAGCGAATTGCTGTGTTATGTCTGTCATCGTTTAGGCCTATTTGAAGTTTTGGACGGAACTTGGCTCAGTGATTTGGAACTAATTACGAGATAACCGTCGCTATTCTGACTAAGATTTTGACAGTTGGTATTCATAGTTATTAATGTAGTGAACGATTAATCAAAAGATATGACGTATTCAGTACTTAGTGTGATTGGCTTTATGATTGAAGGTTACGCCCTAGAGTCTTTTTACTGTTTTGTAATTGGTTAGAGTTTTGAAAATGAATAAAGAGAGTTTGAGTTGGTCTTGGGGAACACAGCATGATAGACGCAGTCTAGAGCAGTCCTGGAGAGCCTTGGGGCGAGTGTTGACGCAGTCTAAAAGAGTCTTGGGTCAGCCTTGCGATAGTCTTGGGGACTTTTCCCCAGGGCGCTGTGTCTTATAGAGTGCTCCACAGACCGACTAAGACGAGAGCTGAAACGTATTTCGTTGTGTGTGTCTTATTTGACTGTAAAGTTAAAGTGACTTTTCCGATCCCATACCTCAAGGGGACGAGATAGAGAGACGAGACGAGATTCCCCCCTGGCAAGTGTGGAGAACCCAGAGAGAAAAGAGAATTTTCCCCCTGATACTGCTACCGAATTATGATCCTGTATTAGAGTTCTGATCACCATCCGGGACGCTGTGTGCAGCGTGAAATGAGATTGGTTGTTAAGGATCTTTTAGGTAATGCTGAGTGGCCGAATTGATGGCACGCTTGCTTTGTTGCATGTGACTTTAGGCTGAGACTCGCATAACGCGCTGCTGTATTTCCAGATGATAGAGGAAATGTAAGCGAAAGAAGGTACTGTTTTATATCCACACATTTAAGGGAATGTCCAGCAAGTTTAAGGACACGAGATATTAGCTAGTGTTGCACTTGAGATACTGCACCTCCGTAATATGCGTATGTGAAAACAAGTTTGCCTTTTTAATGATTTTATGAACTGTCACTTGAATTTTCTAGAAAAATAAATTTTGATTTCTCCTTTAATCACCCAGAAGTCGTTTTCCTACGTTGGGTGAATGCGAATACTCACCTATGAAAACAGGGTTTATGTGTTTGTTGATGTATAGTAAATGACTTGGTCGTGCATACTAATTTGAAGTCAGCCATGTTTTCTTGTCCCTGAAAAAGAGTCAACTTATCAAATTGTACTTACCTGGTACGCCATATTGAAGACTTAATAGATGCACTGCGCCATCGTTCTTCGTCGGCACGAAAAACCCGGATGCTACCCACAGTACATCTGGCGTTCCAAACACTTCCTCTGAAAAAAAGGACACAACTATTTAGTTTTGTTTGTCAATGTTAGAAATGTGAAAATATAATTGCATTTTCTCTTTCAACCCGACTGTCGTTTTGAGGACTGAAGGAAATATGTTGTACTGGGAGTTATTCTGTAGTTAATTTAAATTTATTTATCACTATGGACACCATCATCTTTTTGGAGAAAAAAACGTGGAATATTTTCTCCCTAATTTTAAACTAAATAAACTAATTTGGTGGGGGGGGGGTCATTCACCAGCAAGAACGCACAGTAACAATAACAAAAGATTCAAGTTGTAAACAGCATCGTGGGGGGTCCAAGTCTCTGATTATGAAATTAAATGTGTATCTATATAATTTATCACTGACAGTTAGATTTAATAATACTTAAAGGGCGGCAGTCGTCGTGCCGCGTCCTGTTCGATATGGGACTCATAGCGACGTATACAACGCGTGTAAATTACATTGTTTATTTACATGAAATTCGAACACGCGCTGCGCGACGACCACCGCGCTTTAAAGAATAATTAATGAGGTCAAATGACAGGCAAGTTCACATTTCTATAATGCTGCACACAGCTAGCATCAATGCCATACACAATATGAATATCATTATATTGCACATTAACAATGTCAAGAATTATTTAAATTATTTTTACATTAAACTTTCATGGAATTAGACATGTAAATATGAACATAAACATATTCACAGATCTATTATGAAGTTCAGCAGTCATATTTTAACTGAAAAGTTACAAATAGCCCCAAGGAAGATTCGAACCCTAGACCTTCATGACGAACCCTATCATGACCACTAACATCAGTTTTTGTTTTGCTTCATAGCCAGTAGTGTAGAATCTAGAAGTTAGCATGTCCGTCCCACATAGTGAAGGTTATGTATTCGTATCCCCTCATCTATTTCAAAGACCAATGTAATTAAATATCAAAATGAAACAGTAACTGATAACATGGTCTCCAGCCTGAGCCACTATCAAGACTCTGTTATCTGATTCGTCTGCTTTACTGATCATGCACCCGGGGCATGCACTGATGTCAATGACTTACATGTCATACCCAACCATTCACATGCAAATACATCATAAAATATGTAGAACATGCATTTGCATATTAGTTTAACACGCATTTGCAGTGCATTCCATTGCACTGCACACACATATCAAACACTCCCTTGGTTGCAACATTTCGTTGAATGTGTATTGTAATTAATTAGAACAAGAACAATGCAATACACAAGTTTCCACTGCAAATAAGTGCAAGACCACCATCCCTGGTAGAGTGGGGGAAATGACGTCACGCAATATCCTGGTGGTGTCAAATCTTTACCATGTTATGTAAGCCAGGTTTCAGTGAGAAACACGAGTTGATTATTGTTATTTGTAATGAAGATTATAGATATCTCCGTTCTTCGCTCCGGGCTATTTATTAAAGCAGGGGGGGTCGTCACCTGCGCATGCGCGGGAATTCAGTCCCAAGCAACGATAACAATTCATGCTTAAAAACGCAAAGGCTCATGGGTAGACGCTTGTTCGTAAACTATTTATGACACGCTATGACCATCTGACGCATGAGCAGGTGATGACTCCCCCGCTTTAACTGTATGCGCATTGAAAAGCGATATTGGCATACTAGTATCACTATGTGAAGAGAATTATTCTGTATTGATTCATTATTTGGATAAGTAATGTAGGTCACCGTTAATAAAGTTGGGATACGATGCAAGACGATGTGATATAATATTTACAGTAACCAGTTGACAAATGGACTGCAGTGTACATCCACATCACTATGACCATCATGGCGTGAAGTAGGTGATAGAGTGACATACTTCATACGTTGGTGTGCGATATGTTGTATTGTTTTCTGGTTTGATTATTTCAGGACAAGATGTGATGTAAACCCGAATAGAACGAACAATACATGACCCTCCACGTCGACTACGTAATTTACAGATAAAACTGCCTTTCTCTGCGCGTATGACAGCCTCGATTAGAAATGAAAAAAAACGTTGATTACGTAACTGTAAAAATTGATTGCAGTTCACAATAGACGTGAAGACTGCCACCCTGATACCATTCATCCAGAGTACTCACACAATGTATGTCACGAACATTGAAATTCAGCATTACTAAAATGGCAACAGCAAACAACGCCCTCTCACGTATATTGTATATAAAGTGAAAGTTATGCCTTCTATTCGATATTCATACCTTACGCCCACCCTAAAAGTTGTACTGCCACCCAGGTAATATTCCCCAAGGGCAGTACTATCACATAAAATAGTCAAACCTCTGCCAGTAGACGGGGTAAACAAACACATTTTCTAGACCTATTTTGATAATTGGCTCCCGGACTAGATCGTCCCAATTCTAATATATATTCATTGCGTGTCATTCTGGTGTTTTGAAGAAGGAGCGGAACCTGCAGCTAGTATCACAGTTTTTGAAATCAGAAATAGGAGACTATAATCTAGAAATTAGTATACTGATATTTTCTTCGAAAACCCAGATTAGGGGGGGTTCAAAACATGTGTAGTGTCATGTCCTCCTTTATTTTTTAAACATCTTATTTTTGAAAGTACTGCAACATGTATAAAAGTCATCCATTCCAACAAAGTAACTAGACTTTGTATGTTCTTAAACTCCTGAGATTTTAAAATTGGGGTGCTTTTCTTTTCATCTGAATATTCTCCCAAATTTATTTATATAAGGGATGTTTTATTAGCAATTCTCGTGAAAGAGGGTGCATATTGAAAGTCAAGCACACGAGTGCGGTACCCATTTCCCAGGAGTACCACGTACCACATGGCGTTTCGTTCATCTATATGATTATGTTTTTCAGTATTCCGTTCTTTCGGCACGAGAGGCCACTGTCCGATCTGGATGCGCCGTTTCGAGGTTAATCGTCCATAGCCAAATAACTTCAGCGAATTCTTTACAGAACAATTCTCAACGAAATATAGAAACATCATACATATATACCCTAAGATGATGTCTATTGCAAAACAATTCAACCGACAACCAGTTGGACGCCACTTGTTCTTGCTGGTTTGAGTTCCACGCTTGATTTTATTGCGCTCAAAATTGTTCCATTTCAAACTGCGCATGCACACAAACACAGTTATTTTTCCGAAATGCATACTAATTAGATAAAAGTTATTGTAAACATTTTGCGCAATTTTGAGCAATTTTGAGCATGAGTACAAGAGTGAAATATTAATGAGTCTTTGCAGTTTCCATGGATTGCCGTAACATGCTGTGGATCATGTTAAACACCATTTGCAAGTCGCGTCTGTCTCTTGCTTTCAACGACGGTTATTTGTAATTAAGGTCCACGGTATTTCTTTCACAGTATTCTAGAAATATCTACCACTGTGTAGACTGTTCCGTATTCAGAGTTACACATAGAAATCCACTTTAATGGATTCTCTTTGTATTTGTATAAATACAGCAAGTATACGGTAGTATCCATTACTTAGGTATCCAGTACATGTATAAACAATGTATTCTGAGAGAATCCATTATTTGATTATCCAGTACGAATATGCACAATGTATTCTGAGAGAATCCATTGCTCGCGTATCCAGTACCAGTATACACAATGTATTCCGAGAGAATCCATTATTTGATTATCCAGTACGAAT